AATTGATTATAAATACATCTGTATATACACATACACATATACATATACAAGTCCTTGGGTGGCACAAACAATTAAGCATTCAGTTACTAACCTAAAGGCTGGAGGTTTGAATCCACCCAAAGTCACCTCAGGAAAAAAGCCCTGGCAGTCTACTTCAGAAAGATCACAGACATTAAAAACTGTGTGCAGTTCTACTCTGAAATACATGGGTCACTATGAGTCAGAATCAACTCTACAGCAACTTGTTGGTTGGCTGACACATATATGGCAACCTGTCACCTTTTCCTGTGACCCACAAATGAGCCTAGTGCTTGGATGAGATAAGAGTGTGGACTGACTCCCTTTTGCTGGGGTGCTTTGATCCAAAACACATCCCATAGCACCTAATGGGCTATCGGCACATCCCTCTCCATTTGCCAACATTCCCAGAAACTGCTTAGCTAAATGTGTGCATTGCATGGCACCTGGCCAACCCCACTTCTTTATCTGTTCCCAGCAGGAAAGGAATGAGGGCTCTCACATGCAGCACAGGAGGGGTGTGCACAGGACATCTGCCCAGTTCCAGCTGCAGGAAGCGACCCACCAGTGCCCACTAGTGAAGCTGACCTTCCTCTGTGTCTTCTCTATGTGTTGAAAGTATTGATCTATCCAATGCCTGTGTGTAAGTTGTGTCTTCACTGGCAACCTCAGACCTTGGCTTGGCACATGTATGTGTGTATGTGTGCGTGTATATACACATATACAGATATAGTACAATGCCTTGTACATAATAAATGCTACTTAAAATGTTGGCACATTATATATTGCTTATAATGACTATAGTGGTTAAAACATACAATGAGCAGTCCTAGATTTGATCCCAACCTAGCCTAAAGCTTTCGATCAAGATTAAAAAAACCTTTCATGTTATAAACTAACCAAAAGGCCAACAACTCAAACATTTTACTGATGACATATCTTTACGAGACAGTATGAATCAGGCAGAAGTATGTGAATAACAATAGCTGGCAATTTTGGAAAAAGAGCGCATGAACAGATGCCTCCTTTGCCATGAGACAAAAAGAACTGGATGGTGCTCAGCTACCATTACTGAGCATTTTGATCAAAGATTCTATAGAAGGATCTTGATCAAATGGGGGGAAAATGCAAAAAAGAAATTCTCATGACTCCAGACTTCCTGAACACCTGAAACCTATTGGCCTGAGATAATCTTTTAACCTTAAACCAAAAATATCCCCTGATATCCTTCTTCAAACCAAACTAGTAAAGAATGTCTGCCTTGAGCATTATGCTCTTTTAAAATCTATCTATATGGGATCAATTTGACAACAGCAACTCAAAAGATTAGACAGGAACCTTTAGGGGCAGTGAGTTTATGTTAATGAAGGAGGAACAACAGAAAAGGAGGGTGAGAATAGTGGCACAACTTGAAGACTGTCATCAATGTCACTTAGTTGTACATGCAGAAACAGATAAATTGGTGTATGCTTTGCTGTGTATCTTCTCAACAACAACACAATAAATAAATAAATAAAAAGAATGTGAGGAAGGAGGAAGGAGACTCTAATAAAGTGGCACCCGGTGTAGCAGGTAGGGTGAGAGCAAGTGGGAAAACAGTGTTAAGTATCTCCCTTCTTTTTCTCCACTACCAAAATCAGGTGGCTCACTTGAAGGTATGCCTGAGACAAGACTCAAGGAGAAATGATGGTACCACACGATTCATGTGCACATCCCTTATAGCCATTTAGATTGTCACTTATGGTTGAGGTTCTATCCCCAAAAATACGATCATAGCTATGAATATCACAGCTATTAAGTCCTGCTAGTCTCTCAAATAGATAAGCCAAAGGGTATAGAATTTAAAATTTGAAATCCCAAAAGTTTAGTTCACTCTTCAACTGCACACTTGAAGAATTAGACCAGTTTCAACCAACTACCTAAAAAAAAGAGCAATGAAGACAACATTTATACTCAATGCAGTAATTTTGAGTATTTCATTATCTAACAGTAAACTTACATAATCTTCTATAATTTCTTTGATGCCTGAAATCGTAAGAATAATCGTCAAAGGCAGCACAGTTGTATATTTTCCTGTTGGAGAGACATCTGAAATTTGCTGCAAAACAATCAGAGTTACACTATTAATCTTATAATAAATCCTTGTTATATTTTGCTTAAACTCAAAGTCACATGCTAGTGGCATGGCCAGACACCCCAACAATAGGCCCATTAAATGACAAGGGGAAGGAGACTCTTGGCATATCAATGCCCGCTTCCCTTCATGTGACTATATATTACGTTATGGAAAAGTCATCAGCAAACAACTAAATAACACTTCCCTCATTTATGTCACCTTTGCAATAGAGTAGAAATCTCATTCTGTTTTGAAGGGGATAATTCAAAATCTAAATGTTTGTTTAAAATAGCATCTTTCAGAACAGTTAAAGTCAGATAATCAGCCATTTTAACTGAACCTTTTTTTTTTTTTTTAATGTAAAGGAGAAAATTTTTGGAGGCCCGGTTGAATAAAGCTTTCAAGGTGAAAATTAATTCTGGCTAGTGTTCTGCAGGAGAACTGGTGGCTCAATGGTTAAGAGCTCGGCTACTAACCAAAAGGTTGGTGGTTCAAATCCACCAGCCACTTCTTGGAAACTCTATTGGGGCAGTTTTACTCTGTCCTGTAGGGTCCCTATGAGTCGGAATTGACTCAATGGCAATGAGTTTTGCTTTTTATTGTTTTTTTTTTAAAAGTGTTCTACAGCTACCACCCACCATTTAAAGTGTGAGAGATAAAACAATTCGAAATGAATCGAATGAATCGAAATTGAGGATGTGGTGGTTTTCTGATGAATGGAAGGTGTTATGGATTGAATTATGTTTCTGAAAAGGCTATGTGGAAGTCCCAACCCCATGCCTGTAAATATGACTGTTTGGAAACAGAGTTTTTCTTTTGCTATGTTAACGAGGTCATACCAGAGTAGGGTGGGTTCTAAACCTAATCCCTTCTGAGTGGTATCTTACAAAAGAACAGAACAGACCTTGAGACAACAGACGGAAGACAAATCTTGTGTGAAGATACATCTACAAGCAGCCAAGGAATGTCCAGGATTTCTGGGAGCCCTGGTGGCACAATGGTTAAGCACTCAGCTGCTAACCAAAAGGTAGGCTGTTCAAATCCACCCAGCGGCTCCGTGGGGGAAAGACCTGTCAATCTGCTCCTGAAAAGATTACAGCCTAGAAAACTGTATGGGGCAGTTCTATTCTGTCACATGGAGTCACTGTGAGTTGGCAGGGACTGGACAGCACACGACAACAACAGTTCTCTACTATAAGAACATAACATACTTTAATGAATCCTCATAGATGAACAGCTCCCATAAAGATTACAGCCTAGAAAACCTTATGGGGCAGTTCCACTCTGTCACATAGGGTCTCTGTAAGTCAGTATCAACTTCATAGCGCCCAACAACAACAGGAATAACAAGAAGCTGAAAGAAACAAGGATCTTCCCCTAGATCTCACAGAGAGAGAGAGAGAGAGAGAGAGAGCTTAGTCCTGTAGATGCCCTGAATTCAGACTCTTGTCCTTCAAAACTGTGAGACAATAAATTCTTGTTCCTTAAAGACACCCACTTGTGGTATTGTTACGGCAACACAAGGAAACTAAGACACAAGGTTAGCTGAGGTCTTGGGTTTGACCCTTCAGCTTTCCATATTTAGACAAGTTCTTAGGCCTATTTTAACAGAGATGGGCCTGTGTGTACTCTGTATGCTGCCTTATTATTTCTTGCTTTCTTTTTATTTCTTTGCACAGTGTAGCAAAATAGTGTCTATTTCGAAGCTCCCAATAATTCTTGTAATTACTTTCTAAGGAATCTGAGTAATAAAGGAAGAAAGTGGAGGGCACTTTAGGGTTGTTTAAAATAATAATTAACTCTGCCTTTGAAGTATCTCTTATATCTGTCCCAGTTTGCTGGGAGAAATGAAACAAATTATAATATGTTGTTGTTGTTGTTGTCAGGTGCTGTCAAGTCGGTTCTGAGTCATAGCGATCCTATGCCCAATAGAATGAAACACTGCCTGGTCCTGTGCCATCCTCACCATTGTTGCTATGCTTGAGCCCATTGTTGCAGCCACTGTGTCAATCCATCTCGTTGAGGGTCTTCCTCTTTTTTGCTGGCCCTCTACTTTACCAAGCATGATGTCTTTCTCCAGGGCCTGATCTCTCCTGATAACATGCCCAAATTATGTGAGACTAGCACAAAAGAATGAAATCACCATGGGCTGATTTGGAAAATCAGTCTTTGGAAAGGTTGGAAGGAAGAAGTTTTGAGCTGTACCCTTAACAGAATGGGGATATACATGCCATATATATGATTAGGGTCAGGTAATTGCATGGACCGAGGTCTGGAGATGGGAAGAAAATTGGAGAATTGTAAGGAGACTTGCCTGGTTGGATTCTGGGGTTCATGCTGGAAATAAAGTTGAATAAACAGAAGTAAACCAGATTATGGAAGGCCTTGAATTGAACTACTTTTAAAAGATGCTATTTTAAACCAACATTTGAGGTTGCTTTTTTTTTTTTTTTTTTTAATTATTCTTTGAAAAATAAAATAAGATTTTCTTATGATGGAGGTGACATAAATGACCAAAGCCAGTCCAACAATATCTCATTAAAGATCTCAGGATGAGCTGTGAACTAATTCATCTGTTGTATATTCACATGTTTTTTCAGCCAAAAATCTAGCGTCGGTGCCTGTTGTATAACTTAAATATCATAAAAAGAGTGCTTTCTTCTAATAGTATTTAAATCTATTCTCTACATCCAACACTTACTTTGGCTAAATGAACTTTTTGTTTTGTTTTTTTTTTAACTTTTTAAGACTTTTCATCTAATAACACATTCAAAAGTATTACCTGCAATATAGCAATGAAAAGGAAGAAAGCATTGGCAGCTTTGCGAAACTGCACATACAGATATCGAGGGAGAAATGACCACAAGCTGTACTTGGCTGTGCTATAGGTAAAAGAAAAAGACTAGTGTCAGTTAACATTCTGAACTCTAAAAAAACACTAATAAAAAATGCAAGAAGTTAGTTATGACTCAGAAGTGGATTAAAAATAAAACATTTGTTATAAAACACTGAACCTTTTCTAAAGATGTTTTGCCTTTTTTGAAAGCATCTGCTGTTATGTAAAAACAATTTCAGGATAAAAAGAAGAAGAATCTTCCCCATTTCAGGAACTAAGTGCTATGAATACAGTAAATATGGAGAATCAAGGATCAAAACCCTGAAAGTGGCATGTTGTCTAAACACATCAAAACGGGAAGTCAAACGCAGAGCTGAGTACCACCTTTCATTTCATTAATGATTGAGATCACCCAATAATTCATTCACTTAACAAATCCCTGGCTGGTGCAATGGTTAATGCACTTGGTTGCTAACCAAAAGGTTGGAGGTTCAAGTCCACTCAGAAAAAATGTCTGGCGATCTACTTCTGAAAAATCAGCCACTGAAAATGCCATGGAGTGACTGAATAAACAAAATGTGGTGAAAACATACAATGGAAAACAACTCTGCTGTAGGAGAAAGAAAGTCTTGATATGTGCTATGATATGGATCGAGCTTGAAGACATTATGCTGAGTGACATAAGTCAATCTTAAAAGGATTAATCACTTATATAAAAAGACAAGAAAAGGCAAGTATATAGAGACCAAAGTTTATTAGTGGTTACAAGGGGTGGGAGGGAAGAGGAAAGGGGAGGGAAGTTAACGGTGATGGAAAAATCACACTGAATAAGTGTAGGGTTGCACAGTCAATTATTATAATAGCTGTCAATAAACTGTACACCTGTAAAAAGTTGAATTTGCAAAAGTTGTGTGATAGATACATTTACAACAATGACAAAAAAAAAAAAGAGTAGCAGCTGAGGCTGCTTATGTACAACTAAAAATCTCATGGGATTTGGTTCCTTGGTTTGGATGTTTACGGTCATGGTTTCATGGGACATCCCAGTTAATTGGCCTATGAACATGTTTAGTGCTTCTGTTCTACCTCCTAGTTAGTTGCACAGTAACTGTGGTCTTAAAAGCTTGCCAGCAGCCATCAAAAGCATGACAATATGGTCTCTATTAGCCTGGAGCAACAGAGGAAGAAGGAGAGTCAGGAATAGGAGGAGGATATGGAATGTGTAGCTAATTGTTGCCATAAACAACTGGCTCCTTCGCCATGAGACCAGAAGAACTAGAGGATGCCTGGCTGTAATTACTGAACATTTTGACCAAAGATTCTATAGAAGAATCCTGATCAAATGGGGGAAAATGCAGAAAAGAATTTAAAATTCTTATAGATTCCAGACTTTCTGGAGCCGTGAAGGCTGAATGAACCCCTGAAAATATTACCCTGAAATAATCTTCACATCTTAAACCAAAAATATCCCCTGAAGTCTTCTTAAAACCATACTTTAGCTTGACTAATAAAAAATGTCTGCCTTGAACATTATGCTCTTTTAAACTATCTATGTGGGATCAAAGTGATAATAGCAACTCAAAAGATTAGATAGGACTCTTAGGGGGTAATGAGTTTATGTTAATGGAGGAGGAACAACTCAGAAAAAAAGGGTGAGAATGGATGCACAACTCAAAGAATATGATCAATGTCAGTGAATTGTACATGTAGGAACGGTTGAATTGATGTTTGTTTTGCTGTGTATATTCTCAACCATAACAACAAAACAAAAAAAAAATACCACGGAGCACAGTTCTACTCTGATACACATGGGATGGCCGTGAGTTGGAGTCTACTCAAAAACAATTGGTTTTACTATGTACCAGGCACTATTCTAGGTGTTTGAGATACATCAGGGATCACAAAGACCTCTGCCTGTGTGAGGCTTACATTCTGATAGAGCAAACAATAATCAATAAACATGATTATTATGAACATAGCTATATGTTAGAAGATGACACACAAGACTTATTCCACATTTTCTAATGGTCTATAATGCTTACAACTGTTAAAAAAAATTCAAAACTCGCAGAAATTGAAACATAAGATTTATTCTGAGCAGTTATTCTATATGCATATACGGAGACAATTCTGATTCCAAAAAAAATAGTAAATGGCTTGAAGTAGGCTAGTTACAATGAAGCTTATAAAGAGGAGGGAGAAGAATAGAAGATCAACCACCAGCTAATCCATGATTGATAGAACTCCTGCCCTACTCCTTTTACTGAGATCAACTGATATCAGATTACTAGGTGGTCTCTGGGCTGGCCGCTAAAAAGCTGTAAAATCAAAGTAAGACATCTGTTATTAATTTTTCTCTTTGATGTGACAAAAACTCCTGAACAGTGTCTGTCTTTTGGTTCAAGGAATAAAAACAGCCATCAGTCAGCCTCCCCTCTCACCCTCATGGGTGGTTTATCATTAAAAGATATCTTAAGTCCATTTCCACCCAAATGCCTAAGGCATATCATGGACAAAGAAAATCCTTGTGGGTGTGTGTGTGTGTGTGTATTTTCCATAATTAATCTGCTTTGTTTAACAAGTTTCTGGTTTAAAAATCAGGACTAAAATCAAAACTGCATGCATTCCAAATTATCAGACAGCAGTGCAGGGTGGGGTACAGAACAGGGTTCATAGCATTACTTGGTACAGGATGGAAGAAATTATGAAGGTCTTCAAGAGAAGGCCCAGGTCCCTGATCCTGCCATCACATGCCAACACCAGGCACTGCTGATTGACGGGCAGTGGGTTTGAAGGGACCTTGCCCCACTGGTACTATCCATTCTAGGAAGAGGGTGAGAGCAACTTTCTCAGTAGGGGGACAGGCAGACCTCCTGGCCCCAGAAGCCAGGGTTCATGTGTTATCTGTTTACATGGATGGTATGGGAAAGCGCTCTACTTTCTTTCTTTCCCATACCATCCATGTAAACAGATGACACCTGAACGCAGAGGGTGAGCGAAAAAGAGGAAGATCTTCAACAAGATGGCAAGACAGATTGACAGAGTGGGTACAACAATGGGCTCAAACATAGCAATGATTGTGAGGATGGCGCAGGACCAGGCAGTGTTTCATTTTGTTGTACAAAGAGTCGCTATGAGTCAGAACTGACTTGATGGCACCTAACAACAACATGGGAAAGCCAGCTGCCCAGCAGCAGGGCACCTTGGGGAGTGAGGTTTGGGTGCAGCTCCTCCAGCTTGGTGCGTCATCGTTTCAACAACTCAGAGTGAGCTCCCTGGGCCAATTTTAGATATTTCTGCTCATTGAGAATACAGAAAATAAAGAGAACAGTGTGGAAGCATAAAAAAAGAGTAAACAGACAGAACCATGACCAAATACATGAGTTATATATAATACATGTAAGTAGCAAAGTCTTATCAGAATGGGGCACAATGCAAAACCCAATTTGTAAGAAACAGTCCTACAATATGTCTGACAGTGGTTCCAAATAAAAGGCAAATTCAGATGTAAATCAGAAAGGGACAGGAGACAGAGAAAGGAAAGAAGAGAGGGAGGGAGGGAAGAAGAGGAAAGAAGTAGGAAGAGTACAATATTAAGACAGCACAAAGTTGATTTCAGACTAAAATATATTAAGTAGAAAAAGAAGATCACTTTGTAATCATTGAGAATGATCCACAATGAAAATACAAGTGCCATAAACCATCATACATCAATTAATATAATATTGAACTACAAGGTTAAAAAGTACAGAAAATACAAGATGGGATTGACAGACACATAAAAGTGAAGAATATAAAAATAAATCTCTCAATCCTTTCCCAAATAAAATGGTATTAAAGATTTGAGTAGAACTGTTAAAATGCTATATATGTATTTGTCAATATATAGTTAAGTGAACAGATACGTATACATATTACAATGTGCTTTCAAACTCTGTACTCTTAATAGAGAATATACAGTCTTTCAATATATTGAAGGCCTCTAATAATTAACCAATTTTTTTAATGCAATAATTTTTAAATAACAGCTAATTGTGAAAGAAAAAAATTAATGACAGCATCTTACTTTGATTTTAAGGGGGTTTTCTTACCCAGGAAACCAGAAATTGACTGTAAGAAAGCTTGACCCAAACTACAAAAGTACTGACTTTATTTTTTTTACCAGAAACTGTTCTGAAACATTATAAATTTATCTTTTCCAACTAGAAAAATATAGTTAGTAACAAACTCATTACCTTGTGATTTAATACAAAATATTGTGTGCTTCTTTAACTTTAATGTCAAGAGGTCTGATAGCTACAAATGGGTAAAGGACCAAATTTTCAAGAATTACCTTTTTAATGGTCAGTAACCATAAAGTACTTGGTCAGCACTGAAACTTGCATTCACTGAGAAAAAAATATATATATATTTAAGTTTCTGTGAAATCTCCAGTCCTCAGGAGCATTCTTTTTTTTTCCTTCATGCAGAGAAACTCTCACTCCCTTGATTTGCAAATGGTTTACTAAATCATGAAACAATCAAATATTATATTATTGTTTTGAGCTAATTCAAAGTTTTAACTTTTAATAATTATAACTAGCCTACTTTGAGCCACTTGTTTTTAGAAACAAAATGATCTGTCTTATGCATATAGAATGACTGCTCAGAACCCTATATTTTAATTTCTTTGTGTTTTGATCATTTTTAACATATCTCAAGTCATATTTCTTTGACCACAATGTAATAAAATAAGAGTTAAATAACTGAATTAGAAATAAAAAGGGAAAGAAAGATACTTGGAAAGTACAAAATTCTGGAATTTTTTAGCTCATTTTAGGATAAAATTAAAAATCTGAAATACTAACTACTAAAGTTCCAGTGTAAGAAAAGACAAATCAGCTGGCCCATATACAACTTCTTCAAATACACTGAGAATTTATATAACAAAAGAAACGTTATAAATTAGTTGGGACTGAAATAACTGGCCAACCAACTGGAAAATAAATGAAGCTGGATCTCTACCTCATTCTTTACACCAAAATAAATTCCATCCAGATGAAATAT